TAGCCTTGTAGGCTTCCTCTCTCGCCCGGTAGGCCTCCTCTCTCCCCCGGTAGGCGTCCCCTCTCGCCCGGTAGGGCTCCTCCCTCGCCCGTTAGGGCTCCTCTCTTGCCCGGTAGGCCTCCTCTCTCGCCCAGTAGTCCTCCTCTCTCCCCCTGTAGTCCTCCTCTTTCCCCCTGTTGGCCTCCTCCCTCCGCCAGGAGGCCTCCTCTCTCCCCCTCTAGGCCTCCTCTCTCGCCCGGTAGGCCTCTCTCTCCCCCGGTAGGCCTCCTCTCTCGCCCAGTAGGCCTCCACTCTCCCCCAGTAGGCCTCCTCTCTCGCCCGGTAGGCCTCTTCTCTCCCATGGTAAGCCTCCTCTCTTCCCCGGTAGGCCTGCCCTCTACTCCGGCAGGCCTGCTCTCTGCTATGGTAGGCGTCGTCTCTCGCCCAGTAGGCGTCCCCTCTCGGCTGGGAGGCCTGCTCTCTACCCTGGTAGGCCTCCTTTCTCGCCCAGTAGCCCTCCTTTCTCGCCCGGTAGGCCTCCTCTCTCGCCCGGTTGGCCTCCTCTCTCCACTGGTAGACCCCCTCTCTCCCCCTGTAGGCCTCGTGTCTCGCCCGGTTGGCCTCCTCTCTTCCCCTGTAGGCCTCCTCTCTCGCCCTGTAGGCCTCCTCTCTCGCCCAGTAGGCCTCCTCTATCTGCCGGTAGGTCTCCTCTCTCCCCCGGTAGGCCTCCTCTCTCCCCTGGTAGGCCTCCTCTCTTCCCCGGTAGGCCTCCTCTCTCCCCCTGTAGGCCTCCTCTCTCGCCCAGTTGGCCTCCTCTCTCCCACAGTAGGCCTCCTCTCTCGCCCGGTAGGCCTCCTCTCTCCGCCGGTAGTCCTCCTGTCTCCCATGGTAGGCCTCCTTACTCGCCCAGTAGGCCTGCGCTCTACCCCGGCAGGCCTGCACTCCCCCCTGGTAGGCCTCCTCTCTCGCCTGGTAGGCCTTCTCTCTCTCCCGGTAGGCCTGCGCTCTCCCCCGGCAGGCCTGCTCTCTCCCCCGGTAGGCCTCCTCTCTCGCCCAGTAGGCCTCCTCTCTCGCCCGGTAGGTCTCCTCTCTCGCCTGGTAGACCTTCTCTCTCCACCGGTAGGCCTCCTCTCTCCGGCGTCCCACGAATCTGGAGATGAACGTCGCCCAACGCTGTTCTTTCAAACAGCAGCTGAGCAACCAACATCGAAAGGCTCGAGCATTAGGCCAACACGGAACTTATAACCAGCAGATTGCTGCAACGCACAGGGTAGGCGGCTTCAACGCACAGGGTACTTGGCTGAATCCTGGGTTTCAGAGGATTGGGAATGTGTCGAGGCACAGTGCCGCCTTGCCAGTCAGCATACTTTCGTTTCGTGTCCAGCGCTAATAGTACGCATGTTCTAACTCCGTTCTCCCGCATTTCCTCCCGTCCTCCACTCTCCTCCGCGTTTTCGTGTGCAAGTCGCTGCGATCTGGCGTGGATAGCGGTCGGGGGCTTTTTCCGCAACAGCAGCGCAGCACCCAGCAGCAAATGAAGCCTCAGCTCCGCAGTGCAGCTACACGGGACAAGGAGAGCAAGTGGAAGGGGAACACCAAGGTTATGTGGTTGAAACCGGGGTGCTTTGGGGGGGTAAGATAGCACCGCCTAGCGAGTCAAACAGGTTTTGTTTGTGTCAAGCGATGAAAGTACTTGAATTTTAATTCTCTTCTCCCGCTCTCCTGCCCTCCCGTGCCTCTTCTCTGCATTTACGTGTGTAAGGCTCTCTGGGAGACCAGCTGCAAGGCGTTTTCCAACAGCAGCGCAGCAATCAAGAGCAGAAGCCTTGATTGTACGGAGAGTGAGGGAGGCGTCACGACTATCGGATGGCTGATCGACGGTGTCAGGTGAATCTTGAGAGCAGATCGCAGCGCAGGGTACGTAAGGAGATTTGGAGGTGGGGGGGAATCTTGTAGGCATCGCGCCTAGAGAGTCGCACACTGCTTTTTCTGCGTCTATGTGTGATTGCACGCGTGCACTAATGCCTCTCTACCCCCTCTACGCCTCTCCCTTTCCGCCCTCTCCTCTTCCCTTTCCCGCTCTCCTCTTTGTGTTCCGCGTGCGAGGCACCGGAATCGGGTGGGCTGGCGGCAGCACGACGGCGGCTCTACTGCCAGGCACCATTCGAATGCGAGTTGCAAACCGGCAGCGGTTTGCCCCTCGCCAGAGCAGGATCGCGAGCAGGAACGGTGCCGGCCGTCAGGAGATGGAATGTTGAGATGGAATTTTAGAAGCTGATCGGATGTGCATGCTCTAATGCCTCTACCCTCTCTCTTCTCTCCCCCTTCGCCTTCTCCCCTCTCTTGCCTGCCTTTCCCACTCCATTCTCTGTGTTTCATGTGTTCCAGCCATTCTTGAGGCGCCTCAAAAATAGACTCGATCAAGCCAAGGGCAGGAGGAGAAGCGGACATGCTAGGGTGCTGGAAGGGTGGGAATCAGCCAACCTGAGGGAGACACACCAGTGTGCAGCAGCAAAACGGGCTTGTGAAAAGAGGGGGAGGTGGAAGTGGAGGGGGCATGCAGGACCGCCTAGAGAGTCGAGTCTCGTTCCTTCTCCTTGTGTCAATGCATGGTGTTACTCACGCTCTCTGTGCTTGTGTGTGCAACGCACTGCCAACGGGCTTGGCGCAAAGAGAGAACACCAAAACCTGCGGGGCAGGGGCAGGGACGCCCAAGGGTACGTCAGGGGAAAGGGTATCTGGGGGGTTGCTGCAGGAACGCCTAGCGAGTCATTTCTGCCTGTTTTCTAGAGTCAATCCTTGACATAACGTATGCACTAACGCTCCTGCTCGCCCCCTTCCCCTTCCCTGCCCTCTCCCCCATTCCCTGTCTGCTCTCTGTGTTTTGCCCATGCTCGGTTCTGGTGTGTTGTGGGCATGGCGCCCCACGAGCAAAGGCTTCCATGCAAGCACCATCAGGAATGTGGAGAAGGGATGGAGAAGGGATGTGGAGGAGGGATGTGGAGGAGGGATGTGGAGGAGGGATGGGGGGGAGTGATGCGGAGGAGGAGTGGGAATGCTGCAGGGGCAGCTGCAGCTTCGCAACCATACCAGCTAAGTACTCCTCATCACTCACTCCCCCTCCTTGGTCTCCCCCCTCGCTCTTCGCCATCGTCCCATCGACCAACCCCCCCACCCTCCCCCCTAATCTTCACCTTTCAATTTTCGCTCGCTGTTCGTACTTTGTTGCTTTCCTCGTCTCCTCCTGCTTCCCCCCTTTCACTCCTCACTGAAGTCGCGCCACTGATAGCTGCAGCTGCAGTCAAGGGTAGATTCGACTGCGACAGCCAACGCATCTTAGCTATGATCACTATCGTCTCTTGGACGCCATGATCACTATCATCTCTTCCGTACCATGGGACTTGGTGTCTCTACGTCTTCCGACGTTGCAGCCTAGGGGGTGTGTTAGAGATAGGCTGCAATTCGGTTAACACAACTTTGTGTGTTGGCACTTTGTCGGTTTTAGGGATACACAAATTTGTTAGGTTGGGTGTAGCTATGTTTTCATCCCCAACCTATCCCAACCCAATCCATCCCAAATCCCCACGATTTGGGAGGATTCCCTTGGGATTCCCTTCGATTCTCCCTTATCCCTTGCCATCCTCTCCGATGCTCGGTACTTAAGGATGTATGCTCTTGCTCATTTTAATCAATCAAGTTATCAGTTTCTGATATGGTATCAGAGCGCGTTTCCGCCTAAGCGGCTCTTGATCCTCTCGCTCCGTTGGAGCTTAGCATTTGCGTCTTACGACGCAAAGCATTTCTAGTCGCCTCAACTCAGCGCGGCGCTTCTCTTCGGGCTGACGCCCGTCGCCACGCATCTGCTCGTCGCACCTGATCGGGCTGAGCCCGTCGCCCCGCATCTGCTCATCGCAGAGCTGCCTATCGGCGACTTTTCGAAGTGCCTATCGGCGACTTAAGAGCTGCGCTTCGCGCGGAGCTAGGGTCCTTGGAGCATCATGGCGTACCCTTCCGCGTCTCTCTCAAACCCGATCACTCCCTTGCGCCTCGACCCAAATGGCTCAAGCCCTAACTTCAAGGAGTGGAGCTATGGGGTTGACAAGCATCTCCTAAGCCGTAAGATTGAGGGGATTTGCCTCAAGGATGTCCTCCTCAATCGCGGCAAAGGAAAGATGCCGGTCCTTCCCAAGAAGCTCTCAGCCACGGCCACAGAGGAAGAGTCAAAAGCGCATGAGGAATCCATGTCCAAGTATGAGGAATCTTACAGCGTGTGGGAGCAAGCCGACGCCGCTATCATTGGTGTCTTCGTCGGCACTACCCCTTCCGAGCTCGTCAAAACTTACCATAACTACCCCTCCGCGCACGCCATTTGGGAGTACCTCAACGACCGCTTCCTCAACAAAACCGCTGTGGGGGTGGCGATACTCATCCCCCGCATGTTTCAAGTGCGTCTGGAGGAGTGCCCTGGAATGGCAGATTACGTCGCTGAGATTCAAGGGATTCATCAGGAGCTGAAGCAACTCGGCATTGTCTTCCCAGAGCAAGCCCCTGCAGCAGCTCTGCTTGTTGGGCTAACCCCCTCCTACAATGTCACCCGCTCCATGCTTCTCCATCTCCCGCCAGAAGAGCTAACCTTTGCCAAAGTCTCTTCCGCACTTCTCTCTGCTGATAAAGACAACACTGCGCAGGCTCGTGCAAATGCGCTTCGCGCTCCTGTCTCGGCTCCAGCATCGCGTCCCAATCCGCCACCCACTCGTAACCGCTACCCACCCTGTCCTTACGTCATCAAGATGGGACCCCGTGCGGGTCAGGTGTGCGGCGGCACCAATCACCCGCTCGCCACCTGCTTCAAGAAGAAGGACGACGACTGGTTCGCCAAGAATGGTATCAACTCCAAGCCGCCCAATTGGCTTCGCATGCGCCAGCTCAACCATGTTGAGGCACAGGATAGTCAGGACTCAGCCGTTCATGCCCCTAATCCTGATGTTCGTCTCAACCTGTTGTTCCCTGGCCTTCCCATGATCAATGAAACCAGTTCCCAGTACTCGGCGTCTCCACAAACACCATCCAAACCACTTGAATTCGTCCTGGACAGCGGCGCAACCCACACAGTCCTCCGAGACAAAGAGTCTTTCAAACCATACCAAGCACCCATTCCTCTCCTGGGCGCTGACTCCAGCTTCACAACTGTTGCCCATGGTTCCTCCACTCTTCCATGCCCAGCCTTCCCATCTGGCACAGTCACTGGCCTATGCGTGCCCACTCTTCGGCACAACTTACTTGCACAGCATGAGATTCAACGAGCAGGGGTAACCACTATCTTCCCAGCTCATTCCAATCATTGTGATCTCCTTGATCCCACCAACAATGCCCTCCTTGCACGCTTCATACTGACCGCCAACAACCTCTACACACTCCAAGTACCTCCATCTTCCACTGAAGCACACTCTACCTCCACCACATCATCATGCCCCTGCCGTCAACTCACCGACCCAACCATTCTTTACCACCATCGTCTCGGACATCCCAACTTCCGCATGCTCTCCGAACTTGCGTCTAAGAAGTTGCTTCTTCACCTGCCCGACACACTTCCTCCACCCGCCACTTCTCCCGCTCCTCCATGCTTGGACTGCGCGCAAAGCAAACTACGCCAGCTGCCTCACCCTTCCTCGCCCTCCGCTGCAGCCGCCCCGCTTGACCTCGTCCACATGGACGTCTGGGGCCCAGCTCCACTACGCTCTCGTGGCGGGCACTCTTACTTCCTAGTGCTCGTTGACGATCACTCTCGCTATGCGTCCGTCCACCTCCTCTCCTCCAAAGCAGCTGTTCCCGATGTCGTCATCGCATGGGTTCGACAAGCCCAAAATCATTTCCGCACTTCACTCAAGTGCCTCCATTCCGATGGCGGTGGCGAATTTCGAAACCATTCCCTTCAAGCGTTCTGTGCCTCCCAAGGCATTCGCCAGACCTTCACCCTTCCCCACAGTCCGCAGCAGAATGGCATTGCTGAAAGTCGCAATCGCACTCTCGTGCAAATCGCTCGATGTCTTCTCACTCACGCTGGTGCACCACCTTCACTTTGGAGTTACGCCCTCCTTCATGCCACGCTGCTATACAACCTTCACCCTCACCCTCTTCGTCCTGCCATCACTCCCACTGAACTGTGGACCGGCACCAAGCCCAGTGCACGAGCTCTCCACGTATGGGGGTGTACCGCCTATGTCCTCCTCAACCCTCAGGAACGTCGCACCCATGGCGGCAAATTTGCACCCAAAGCTCAACCCTGTGTCTACCTCGGCCACAACCTGGACTCTCCCGACTACCTTTTCCTCAATCCCTCCACCAATCAGCTCATTCGTAGCCGCGATGTCGCCTTTGACGAGAGTCGCCCTTTTTACCTCTCTTCACCACCCACCACCGCTCCACCTTCGCTTGTGTGGGCCGATTTCGATACCTCACCCTCTCCACCTCCTCCCTCTGCCGCTCCTCCTGCGGCCCCCTCACTCTCACCTCCACCATCTCCTTCCACTCTCTCTCACCCCTCTTCGCCCACTGGCTCAGTTGCCCGTTCACCTCCGCCCGCGCCTGCACTTCCCCCTGCACCCGCTCCTGCAGCTGCCCCTCCCCCTGCCCCTGCACCTCCATCCCCGCCTTCACCTTCGCTTCCGCCTCCAACCTCGACCTCTCCTCCTGACTCGCCCATCACATATCGTCGCCGCCGCCACGGACGCTCTTATGTCGACGTCCCACCTGCTCCCCCACCACCTCCCTCCTCTCCTGTCCCTATTGCTCACCGCACCCGCTCTCATGGTCCCGCTCCGCCTCTCGCCCTCTCTGTTCGCATCTCCCTCAATCCGCCTCCTCCTGCCGGGGGTGCATCCATGCCTGGCCTATTGGAGAATAGGCATGAGGAGCTGATCGAGATCAATGCTGCCATCCGTCAGCTCTGCCATCTTTTCCCCGATCTTGCTGACTCTCCAACTCTTAACTTCTCGGAAAATCCATCTATTCCAACCCCGAACTCGTATGATGAAGCCATCTCCGGACCACACTCCCCCCAGTGGCTCGCAGCCATGATCGCGGAGTGTGAAGCATTCATTCGCAACAACTCTTTCACGGACGTCTCTCCTCCGCGAGGAGTTAACATTGTCCGTGGCAAATGGGTTTTTCGCGTCAAGCAGCTGCCTGGCGAACTCCCAGTCTTCAAGGCACGATACTGTGCAAAAGGCTTCACGCAGAAGAAGGGCCTGGACTTCTTCGACACATTCTCTCCGACAGCCAAACTGCCCACGCTTCGGACCCTGCTGGACATCGCTGCTCGATGCAACTTTGACATTCACTCCATGGACGTCTCTGCTGCATTTCTCCAAGGGGATCTCCTCGAGGACATCTACATGGAGCGTCCTCAAGGATTTCCCTTACCCTTTCCACCCGGCACGGTCTGGAAGCTGAATCGACCAGTCTACGGGTTGAAGCAGGCCATGAGGTAGGTAAGCCATCGAGCTGGCCGTCATGGCTGCCCGTCATGGCTGTCCGTCATGGCTGTCCGTCATGGCTGGCCGTCATGGCTGTCCGTCATGGCTGGCCGTCATGGCTGGCCGTCATGGCTGGCCGTCAGGGCTGTCCGTCATGGCTGTCCGTTATGTCTGTCCGTCATGGCTGGCCGTAATGGCAGGCCGTCATGGCTGTCCTTCATGGCTGTCCGTCATGGCTGGTCGTCATGGCTGGCCGTCATGGCTGTCCGTCTTTGCTGGCCGTCATGGCTGTCCGTCATGGCTGTCCGTCATGGCTGTCCGTCATGGCTGGCCGTCATGGCTGGCCGTCATCGCTGGCTGTCATGGCTGTCCGTCATGGCTGGCCGTCATGGCTCTCCGTCATGGCTGGCCGTCATGGCTGGCCGTCATGGCTGTCCGTCATGGCTGTCCGTCATGGCTGTCCGTCATGGCTGGCCGTCATGGCTGGCCGTCATGGCTGTCCGTCATGGCTGTCGGTCATGGCTGTCCGTCATGGCTGGCCGTCATGGCTGTCCGTCATGGCTGGCCATCATGGCTGTCCGTCATGGCTGGCCGTCATGGCTGGCCGTCATGGCTGTCCGTCATGGCTGTCCGTTATGGCTGTCCGTCATGGCTGGCCGTCATGGCTGTCCGTCATGGCTGTCCGTCATGGCTGTCCGTCATGGCTGTCCGTCATGGCTGTCCGTCATGGCTGGCCGTCATGGCTGGCCGTCATGGCTGTCCGTCATGGCTGTCCGTTATGGCTGTCCGTCATGGCTGTCCGTCATGGGTGTCCGTCATGGCTGGCCGTTATGGCTGTCCGTCATTGCTGTCCGTCATGGCTGTCCGTTATGGCTGGCCGTCATGGCTGTCCGTCATGGCTGGCCGTCATGGCTGGCCGTCATGGCTGGCCGTCATGGCTGTCCGTCATGGTTGTCCGTCATGGCTGGCCGTCATGGCTGTCTGTCATGGCTGGCCGTCATGGCTCTCCGTCATGGCTGGCCGTCATGGCTGTCCGTCATGGCTGGCCATCATGGCTATCCGTCATGGCTGGCCGTCATGGCTGTCCGTCATGGCTGTCCGTCATGGCTGCCCGTCATGGCTGGCCGTCATGGCTGTCCGTCATGGCTGTCCGTCATGGCTGTCCGTCATGGCTGGCCGTAATGGCTGGCCGTCATGGCTTGCCGTCATGGCTGTCCGTCATGGCTGTCTGTCATGGCTGTCTGTCATGGCTGTCCGTCATGGCTGGCCATCATGGCTGGCCGTCATGGCTGGACGTCATGGCTGGCCGTCATGGCTGTCCGCCATGGCTAGCCGTCATGGCTCTCCGTCATGGCTGGCCGTCAAGGCTGGCCGTCATGGCTGTCCGTCATGGCTGGCCGTCATGGCTGGCCGTCATGGCTGTCCGTCATGGCTGTCCGTCATGGCTGTCCGTCATGGTTGTCCGTCATGGCTGGCCGTCATGGCTGTCCGTCATGGCTGTCCGTCATGGCTGTCCGTCATGGCTGGCCGTCTTGGCTGGCCGTCATGGCTGTCCGTCATGGCTTTCCGTCATGGCTGGCCGTCATGGCAGGCCATCATGGCTGTCCGTCATGGCTGTCCGTCATGGCTGGTCGTCATGGCTGGCCGTCATGGCTGTCCGTCTTTGCTGGCCGTCATGGCTGTCCGTCATGGCTGTCCGTTATGGCTGTCCGTCATGGCTGTCCGTCATGGTTGTCAGTCATGGCAGGCCCTCATGGCTGTCCGTCATGGCTGTCCGTCATGGCTGTCCGTCATGGCTGGCAGTCATGGCTGTCCGTCATGGCTGGTCGTCATGGCTGGCCGTCATGGCTGTCCGTCATGGGTGGCCGTCATGGGTGGCCGTCATGGCTGTCCGTCATGGCTGTCCGTTATGGCTGGCCGTCATGGCTGTCCGTCATGGCTAGCCGTCATGGCTGGCCGTCATGGCTGGCCGTCATGGCTGTCCGTTATGGCTGGCCGTCATGGCTGTCCGTCATGGCTGTCCGTCATGGCTGGCCGTCATGGCTGTCCGTCATGGCTGGCCGTCATGGCTGTCCGTCATGGTTGTCCGTCATGGCTGGCCGTCATGGCTGTCTGTCATGGCTGGCTGTCATGGCTCTCCGTCATGGCTGGCCGTCATGGCTTTTCGTCATGGCTGGCCGTCATGGCTGTCCGTCATGGCTGGCCATCATGGCTATCCGTCATGGCTGGCCGTCATGGCTGGCCCTCATGGCTGTCCGTCATGGCTGTCCGTCATGGCTGCCCGTCATGGCTGGCCGTCATGGCTGTCCGTCATGGCTGTCCGTCATGGCTGTCCGTCATGGCTGGCCGTTATGGCTTGCCGTCATGGCTGTCCGTCATGGCTGTCCATCATGGCTGTCCGTCATGGCTGGCCATCATGGCTGGCCGTCATGGCTGGACGTCATGGCTGGCCGTCATGGCTGTCCGCCATGGCTAGCCGTCATGGCTCTCCGACATGGCTGGCCGTCAAGGCTGGCCGTCATGGCTGTCCGTCATGGCTGGCCATCATGGCTGGCCGTCATGGCTGGCCGTCATGGCTGTCCGTCATGGCTGTCCGTCATGGCTGTCAGTCATGGTTGTCCGTCATGGCTGGCCGTCATGGCTGTCCGTCATGGCTTTCCGTCATGGCTGGCCATCATGGCTCTCCGTCATGGGTGTCCGTCATGGCTGTCCGTCGTGGCTGGCCGTCATGGCTGGCCGTCATGGCTGTCCGTCATGGCTGTCCGTTATGGCTGTCCGTCATGGCTGACCGTCATGGCAGGCCGTCATGGCTGTCCGTCATGGCTGTCCGTCATGGCTGGTCGTCATGGCTGGCCGTCATGGCTGTCCGTCTTTGCTGGCCGTCATGGCTGTCCATCATGGCTGTCCGTTATGGC